ACTTGTGACTAGATTTGTGAAGGGACTTGTGACTGGACTTGTGAAGGGACTTGTGACTTGCCTTGTGAAGGGACTTGTGACTGGACTGGTGAAGGGACTTGTGACTGGACTTGTGAAGGGACTTGTGACTGGCCTTGTGAAGGGACTTGTGACTGGCCTTGTGAAGGGACTTGTGATTGGACTTGTGATGGACTGGAATGCTACACTGCTTGCTGTTATCTCTCTGTAGTTGTATCAGTCTTGGTTGACATAACTGACTTATTTTTCCTTGTACAGGCCATGAATGAGCTGTGTAAAATAAAACTTGGAAATTCCCGACCGATATGCAGACTGGTAAGTCGATAGGATTCATAATGTTGGTGTTCACTGAGAGTGAAACTCTCTGCGTTTATGCTGAAGTCTGTAGACGGATGTGGTCTCTTCTTTAATTGGGATGGCTTTCTAAAACTTGGTCGTCCTTTCAGTGCAAGCCTCGTAGAGCGAAGGGTCAGGCAATTCTAGTCGGTCTGTTGAGTCAGTTCTGTACATGGTGCATTCTGGTTTAGGCACTTGGATTTGTAATATGCTTGTGGGACGTGCATGCACATTTTGAGTAATGTTGCATGAAGTATTGATTTCTGATTTTCAACTGAATGTGCACAACCCCCCCCCACACACACACACACGGCTGTGGGGTCATGTTAAATGTCTGCTGTATCTCTCCGTTACAGTTGAGGAAGTTCTTTGGCATAGAGTACAAACCAGACGTTGGTACACTAATGGTATTCTCCCCCACTGCAGTGCATCAGTAGTTGATTACATTTGATCTCAAGTGATCTTGATTAGATTTCTCCAATGCCCTTTGATTCTTGTTTTAGGTGAGCTCTCTGCCGCAGTGGTTACCCGATCCTATCACAGGGGCCCTGGGTCGCGAGGTGGAGAAAGTCTCTCTTTTAGGGGCGTTCTTGTCCCTGTCCGTCTTTGCAGAAGACAATGTGAGTACAATGAGGGACAGTGGGAAGGAGGGGGGGGGTTTCTGAAACGTGGGAGAACTTGCTAAGTGTAGGTAATGCTTGCTTAGCAGCAACAGAGCGCCAGCCACAGTATCACATCTGAACTGATGGTTCTCATCAGGTTTTACAGTAGCAACTTGCTGCCAACCAACTCGTCCAAATTGCGATCCACTTAGGATTAGTTAATATGCTGAGGGAGTCTAGGTGGCTCATTGGTATGTTGCCATGGAGATGTGTGTATGGTTGTCATGGAGACACCCGGGTACTTTAGACACTGGTCACTTTTGGCACGTTTGTCATGTGATTTAGAATCATCCCAGATCCATTTAATCACTGGTATCATTCACAATGCTACAATAAGAACTTCCAAGAAGCGAGACTCCTAGCACTGCGTCAGGTAGCCATATTTATACCCTTTACAGTGCTGTTTCCAACAAAGTCAATTATATGTAACACCATGTGTTAGATTATGATGGAATTTTGGTTTCTAGGGAGTTGATTAAACGGATGATTTGTTCGCGGTTTCACTGCAGACCAAAGTGGTGGAAAAGTATTTCTCAGGACCCATGCTGACGCAGGACAGTATCCGCATCCTCAACGACAGCTTACAACATCACCTGCACTTCATTAGGGTGAGCAGACTTTCTGTTGAGCGGTTGTCTTTGAAGAATATCTCGGCCTGGAAGAGTCATCCTTTTTGTTACCTACTCACTGATGGGATTGGACGGACTTTGCTGCCCCCCCCCTCCTTGCACATTGATACCGAAACATGCTCTGAATCATACCAGCATAGACATGGAGGTTGGCCACAACCTCAATGATATGGGAGGGGGCGAATTCACCATCCAACACCCCTCTTTTTTGATTAATAGAGGTTTTTCACATTAAACACGACGGGCCAAGGCATTTCAGGAAACGTACCCTGTCCACGGAGGCACACGCATTTTTGATCTGTGTATTTTTATTTACAATTTCCTGCACACCAGAATGTTGAGAGGCTTTGATTGCCTGCAGGTTTCCGCGCACATCTGTGTAAATTGAACGCTGACCGTCAGAAATCATGTGACGGCAACTCCTCTGTAGCTAAAATCTTGAAGAAGATGAGATTTGGCCTCTTTCTAATCGCAGATGATTTTGTGGAGTCATCTGCACCTCTGCATTGTACAGAAACAAGCAAGACTTCAGATTTTAGTATTGTTTTTGTTTTTCCGTTTTTAAGCTGCCATTTCTGGACCCCAGGATTAAATAGGCATTTGTAAGTTGAGATTTTCTTTCCCTTTTTTTTCCCCTCCAGAATGAGTTACACGAGATTATCCACAGCATATTAGTCAACAGCGAGAGCAGGGAGGCCATGGTCAAATACTTTGCGGCGGTCATCAAACGGAACCACAAACGAGCCCAGATGCAGGTAGGACAGACATCAGACCTGATGCTGGGAAGAAGTCCCTCCCAGAATGGTTTGGAGGTGGTAGAGTGTACCTTCTTTGCTCTGCCGAGACTGCTGTGTTGAGAAAGAAACAATAACTTTTTTTTTGCCCTTGACCGCAGTTTTTGTTTTCTTTGTGCAAGGAAACTTTGAAAACCAGCAGTCCAGCAAAACGTTGTTTGGGCTAAAGTTCAGAGTGAGATCCTTTCACGGCAAAACTCATTTTGGCTGACAGTGTTAGCCATTCTGTAATAACCAGGAGGTTGTCTTAATCAAGGCCCCGTCGACAGCTTCTGTGCAAATGCTTCGTAATGAAAGAGTTGTATTTGTACACTGTTGGAAAAATATTCTGTAATAGATGCGTTTACGCTTATAGCTTTCACTTCAGTGCCTAGCTTTCTCTTTTTGGAGTTGTTGGAATGATGATTGAGTTTCGTTAGTGATTATTGGTTATTTGCTACTTCTCAGATTGATGAGAGTCTGGTTGCCGGGGACGGATTTATGCTGAATCTCCTTGTGGTGTTGCAGAGATTGAGCGTCAAGATAAAACTCGACATGGTAGGGCTCTTCATCTTTTTTGTGCCTCGATGAGCGAAACAAGTGATCTGTGTCAAAAGGAATCATTTTGACATGATGGCGCGACGGCGAAATTAAGCACTGCGCGTGACTGAAGACTTGTCTCCTTTTCGTTTCCCCCACAGGTGGACGTGATGTACCCACACCACCCCAAGTCCCTCATTGACATCTCTCAGGACACCCGGCTGAAAGCCTCGTCGCAGGAGGCCGCCGATTGGGTGGAAGAATGCAGTAAGTCACTCACCTACATCTTTGCAGTTTGTTCTGATTTCTGTCACCTCAGTTCTCCAGTGTCTGATCAGCTCAATCGGTGAATCGCTTTTCCACTGTATTGTCTCAAGAAGTACTTGGCCAACTGGCAAGAACCTCATCATCCAATCTCTCACACCAGCCTGTCATTTGCGACTGGAAGAATCCAGCTCTGACGCGATCACTGGACCCTAGCATTTTCTCCCACAGCCTTAGATAAGCATCTGGCTAACTGGTTGATGCCTAAGTTTCCGACCTGGTGTTTCTTTCCACCTTTCCACTGCCATCGTCTAGCACTCATGCCAGCTTATCACTCTATCCCCAGGAATACCTCTTCAATTTGCCCCATTTCATCTCCAGTTTGTCTTCGCCACTCTCTAGACAAGCGGCCAGCCAACTGGTTGGACCCCAAGGTCTGGATAATTTTTCCATCCTCTCAAACCATCAACTGCCAACACTGAATACTTATTCGGCCTTATCACTTCTTCAGGTCCTGGAAAACTTGTTCGGATTCACCCTGATCTCCCTCATCTTCTCTCCCACGCTCGTCAGATAAGCGGTCGGTCGCCAGGTGAAATCCAAAGCTCCAAATGCCACCTTCTGCCCCTCCGTTGCCAACACCCAGCACACACTCTGCCAAATCTCCTCTCGAAGTCTCTTGACTATCGGTCAGACTTAACCCGATCTCTCTCATCTTCCTTCCCCTCCCCTCCCCCACACACTCTCCAGATAAACGGCCAGCCGCCTGGTTGGAGCCCAAGTTCCCCACCCAGTGCTACTTCCTCACCCTCCACTGCCAGCACCTGGCGCTCATGCCGGCCTGCCGTCACTACACCCGCCGCATCCGGGGGCTGCGGGAGCTGGCCCGCATGGTGGAGGAGTTGCAGGGACAGGAGGAGCAATGGAAGGGAACGCCCAACGAGCGACGCAACCGACAGCTCCTGGAGAAGTGGAAGTTGCAAATCAAGGTTGGGCTTCTGTAGATCTCGCCTCTCATTCGTTAGATCGGAGATGTCCAGTGAGCTGCTTCTGTCGGCATGATAGAACTAATGTTACCGAAGGGATGAATTTATGGTTGCATTAGCTATGAAATTCAAAGCTTATGGTCAACGTCGTGTGCTTACCGCATCAGCAACTAATTGAGGTTCTGCATAACAGCCATTTTTCCGGTAAGAGCCTTTGTTCCACAGGCATACACGAGTAGACCTTTTGTACTGTCCTCCGTAACACAACAAGCAAGTTAGCGGAAAGATGGCTGAAGTGCAGAGCCTCTGTACTAAATCATTGAGATCTGTGGACGACACAACGGCAGTATTAGTCTCAAACTCAGAAGAGTTGCTCTGAAAGAGAAACGTCGACTGTGTCATCTCAACATATTTAGACAGTCATGCTGTGTTGGCTCTTTGGAGAATCCCATGCAAACTCGAGAATCCTGCAGAAAATTCTGTCCTAGCCGTGCAGGCGTGTAATCTGTTGTTCTGGGTCGCACACAGACCTCAAACCAAGCTTGCTAACCTGTAAAATACACAACTAGTGTCCTACTCTAGAGAGATTCAACTTGGATGCAGGAGCCAGAACGCTTCTTAGTAAAATGACCAACTTTTGTCTGCCTGCGTCAGCTTTTGCGACTCTAACGGGACAAGAAAAGGGGCGATTTCTGCCTTCTTAGCATGGAGTTCTATTCCTGAGTGATAAGGTAGATTTATTCGTTCCATAGTCTCACTGTGCCCCGCTTTGATTTTTTGCCCGGCAGAAGCTAGACAAGGCCAAGCTTTGCGGCGATGCGGGCCTGCTGGATGAGAACCTCCTCAGGAACTGCTTCCAATTCTACGGCACGGTCATGTTCCTGCTCCTCAAGCTGCTCACGCCCAAGGACCAAGAGTAAGGGACACCGACCAATTGGGCTTCATTTCAAATTATTGCTGAGCGGATTTATGCGCTAGGCAAACATCAGCTGGAAACCATCCAGGAGCCATACAAATATGTGCATGTTCGGCTGGTAACCTCTTTTCACCAAGCAGTCACTTTTTGGGCTAAGCAGTTCTGGGGCTCCCGGTAACAAGAGATGAAGAGAATTTGGATTTTGTTCAACACCTCGCTTGGATGTTGTCTCAAGTTTACATATGTTCACAGACTGCTCTTCGTTTACCTGCAGTAGAATCTGTCTACCTCTACCCAAGGAAGTGCCCATGGAATTTGCGGCGTTACCCGAACACTACATCGAAGACATTGCTGAGTTCATCTTATTCATCGTACAGTAAGTCGGAAGGAAAATAACTCCAGTCGTGTTTTGTTCTTGTACGGTGTTTTCGTGCCGGTAAATACAGAGTGAAGCTCAAGTCCAGTGGAGGTACACTCAGTAATTATGCTGGGGACGGATTTTAGTTTATATTCATGATTGCATTGCACAAAGTCTGAATCTTATGGTTTTTATGTTCAGGAATATTGCTTTATTTTGCATATGAAAGAGGAAAACTTAGCTCTCTCTGGAGTTTGCTTATGGCTTGATGTGGATGGAAAAAGTTTGTTCTGTGAGATCCAAAAGGTTTATAGCTCAAATGGTTCCGGTGATTTTGACAGATTTTGTTAGGCTGGGTCATATTTTTGGTGGGTTGCTTGTTAGTCCTCATGTGCCTCCCCCTTGTTTATTTCTCCGCCCACCAGACACTGCCCACAAGCCCTAGAAGACACAGCTCAGCAGGACATGGTGCTATTTATAGTTGTCATTGTCTGCTCAGCGCACTGCATCCGTAATCCCTACCTGGTGGCCAAGCTCGTCGAGGTAAGAATTGGGAAAGCCTAATATCATCCTCAGTCACTGTGTTTTATGTTTTGTTTAGGCCATGCCCATCTCTGATGTTAAGAGCTAGATCGTGGTCCCTGCCAATACGTGCGATTCACAGTGCAGTACGCCACAAAGAGGTTGTCATGGAGGGGCTTTTTTGCAATGCATCATGGGCTAAAAAGTCGACAGTCTCATTCACTAACTGCTCTGTGCACGGAAAGCTTGAATTTTTTCCCGAAAGTTTATTTTGTTTAAAACTTCGAAATTGCTTATTGCGAAGGGGTATCAAGTATGCAAAGCGATGGTATTGTGTGATGCAGGGGACACCTCAATCAATCAAATATCCCCAAATTATCTATGAAGTGGGCTTAATTGTGACAGCATGGCAACCGTAAACTTGAAAAGTAGCCTGTCTGCGGCAAACTCTAGGCGACCGCTGTCTTGTAAATTGCCTATATTGCAAATACGTTGCCACATGGTGACAGTAGACAGCCGTGCTTTTAAACTGTGTAGGAGGGTTAGGATCAAAGCAGTAATCTCTTTATCTCTTTCAATGGAACACCTGTTCAGGTGATATTTGTTCTGAGTCCAGCCGTCCAGACCAGAACGGCCAAGATCTACGAAGCCATCCAGATCCATCCGTTGGCCATCAACCACCTGGTGCCAGCCCTCATGACCTTCTACACCGGTAAGCCGACAGGACCACAGTGGGTCTGTCAGAAGTCACCGCTGGCCACAGCTTGGGCCTCGACCTCCGTCTTTACAAGTTTGGACCCTGATGCGAAAGTGCCGGGCTCGGGTTCGGGTTATTTTCTGCTTTAGGAACATCAGGTCCTCCTGTACCAAGTCTTAATTTGGAGTCAGGTTCTAGAAGACATTAAAGACTTCAATTGATTCTGGAGTTACATGTAGGATCAAAGCCAAAGTCAGAGATGAACCTGCCGAGAACTGTGGGTTTGAGGGGCGACTCAGTAATTGCTCACAGCAACCGAGCAATGTTTCCGCAGCGAATCAGTCATTTTTCTTTTTCTCTCCCTTTTTTGGTGGGATATCCAGATGTGGAACAGACAGGAGCCAGCAGCGAGTTTTACGACAAGTTCAGCATCCGCTACCACATCAGTATCATCTTCAAGTCCCTGTGGCGGCTACCCATGCACCGTAATGCTATGATCAAATTCAGCGGGTGAGCGCAATCCCTTCTCTCTCGGGCACCCTGCTCTGTTTTTGTCAGTTTGAGAAACAGCAAGAGTTGTGAAATGTCCAACTGTCTGGTATTTGTGCGCTAATTAAAAGGAAATGACGGTTTTCCCTTTGCTATTCGTCAGTTTAACAAGTTGTCATCAAAGGGTTTCATTGGTTAGCCATCTCGAGTAGAAGCAGCCCCCTCATCGGTTGGAAAGAGCCACGTTGGTTGGGAGTGTTTATTTTGTTGGTAGTGACACAACTGCAGTGCTTGAGTTTCCTTGTCATTCGCAAAACAGCGATGTGCAGTTAGTACCAAAGGAGCCTCCGTTGGTGAGGAAAAGCGCCCTCTCTTGGTCCAGCTCGAGGCCCATAGATGGCTGTTTGCGAAATATTCAAAGGTCCAGACCCTGATCGGAGAAACCTCACCAGGGAGTTCAGTTTCTAAGTCAGAATTGAAGGGTACCCCGTCTTCTCGTGCATTAATACCTCTCCCCTCTCCCTGCCAGGTCGCAGTCCGAGTTCGTGCGCTTCATCAATATGCTGATGAACGACACCACCTTCCTGCTGGACGAGAGCCTGGCTTGCCTCAAGAGAATCCACGAAGTCCAGGAGGCCATGAAGAACAAGGAGGCTTGGAGTGCCTTGGATCAGGTGAGGCGAGCTTTTTGTCTGGAAAACCCAGGGGGTGTAAAATTTGAGAGAGCTGCTTAGCAAATTCTATGGCTCAGCAGATTTCTGTGTTGAGCAACACCGAGCGGACAGCAGTCAAATGAAGTGCAGAATGCATTGCCTTTTGGGCTGGTAACCTTTCTCTGCTAAGCATATGGTGTATGTGGTTAGCAATTTCTATACTCTGTGAGTTTGGCCTAGGGATCAAATTAGGAATTTGGTAGAGAAAGATAATTCTCCATAGCTTTAAACACCTCTGTAGCCGTCTGTTTACACAGATTATTACGATTTGATGTATAAAGGAAACACATTCATTCAGGATAAGAGCATGTGACATCAATCCAGCTCCATCGAAATCCATCAAAATCTTGCAGACCTTTTCCGTAGATTTTGGTGGATTGGGGGGTCCTCTGGCTTCCTAATGAGCTGTATGCTCGATGTTTTTTTTTTGTCTTTCACAGGAGGAGAGACAGGGTAAAATCCGCCAGCTGTCCACAGACGAGAAGCAGTGCCGGTCCTACCTAACGCTGGCCAACGAGACGCTGGAGATGTTCAATTACCTCACCAAGGAGATCAAACAGCCATTCCTTAGGCCGGTGAGTGGCTTGCAATGCAGCCCAAGTTTTTGTGGAGAATTGTTGCAACTGGATTGATGCTGTTGTTTTGGAGGCACAGACTTAGAGTGGTGGGGCCTGGGCTCTTCGAAGGAAAGGTGATCATCGCACTGCTTCTGTTGACTAATTTACTCGAGCCCGTTTTTCAAATCTGAGAATTGTCTTCGACTTTTGGCTTCATAACTGCCTCTTGAAGTGTTGTCCTCAACTGATGGAAATGCTCAAAGACGTGGCATTGTTGATGTAGGATTTTATGTTTCTGGCGGGTAGAGTCGATTGGTATTGAGTGGGAGTTCCATATGTGTTCAGTTTGAAATATAATAAAAAATGTTCACATTATAAACGAGTAATTTAAATTTTGCCTGAATGTTCAGTCTGAGTGTACATTTCATAAAAGGCTGAGCGATTTCTTATGTTTGAAGTCGTGCTGTGAGTGTTGTCTCTTTGATTTTGACTTATTGCAAGTTCTTCTCGCCTTTGCTGACATTAATCTTGATTTGAATTAAAAACCAGTCACCATTCGGATGGTGAACTCCGGCGACGAGCCTTGGCTATCCCTGACGTCTAGTATCCTTTTTTTTTTGGTGTGCGTGCCGTAGGAGCTGTGCGACAGGCTGGCGGCCATGCTCAACTTCAACCTGCAGCAGCTGTGCGGGCCCAAGTGCAACGACCTGAAGGTTGAGAACCGGGACAAGTACGGCTTCCAGCCGCGCCGCATGCTGGACCAACTGGCCACCATCTATTTGCACCTGGACAGCGAGGAGCTGGCTACGGCGTTGGCCAACGATGAGGTAAGGGATGGGTGCGCTACTCGGTCCGCTAAGCGCGGAGGGGAAACAAAGGGATGGCGTGTCCTCACTTAGAATGGAAAAAAAAAAAGAACCTGCGAACCGCGTGTGCGCGCACAGGTTCTCGCAAGTTTGTTTGGAAAGGCAGTGAGGGGGTGTGACCAATATCTGCTTGGGGGGGGGACACTTCCAGTCAGAGTGGATTTGGCCATCTTGTACCCCACGTGAATGGGCGTGGGTAGCGCAGGTGACGGCCGGAACATTTCCAGCAAGACATGGGTGGGGAATCATCGCATGGCCTGCGCGCTTACTAATAATAACAATGATAATAACTGGTTCTTATACAGCGCACATATCCATCACAAATGATGCTCAAGGCGCTGTACTATCATCATCCCTGCACATTAGGCTCGCAATAACTGAACATTCCTGAAACCATCTCAGCTCCCTGGGGAGTATACTAGCCTGATGCTGCCCTATCAGACGCACGCGGCTAACATAACCAAATCTGCCCTCACAGGGCCCCCTGACCTACAAACCCTTACCGCTAGGCCATATGTCCCCCGTACTGTGCTTATACTATGCTACAGGTGTCTTTTTCACTTTCATCAACTAAAGCAGTTGTCAGTGTCAGAGGTCAGGAGACTTGAATTGTTACAAATGTTGCAGTGGCTGTGTGTTTCTTTGAAAAAACATTACAGCGATCGTTCCGCCCGGAGCTAGTGAGTGATGCCCTCCACTTCCTAGCCCGACTGAAGACACAGTCAGAGATTAATCAGTTCTCCCGGCTGATGTCACGGGCTCAGGAGATCACCTCCCACAACCAGCAGTTAGAGGTGGACTATGACGACGCGCCCGATGAGTTCAAAGGTCAGTTCGCAGGAGAATGGTGATCTGAAACTTAACCTCCCAGAGCCTAACCTCCCTGTTTCCCGAATGCCTCCAACATTTCACCTTGCCCCATTCCAATCAGGCAGTGGCGCCATTCCTTGGTCCACGAATAGCCGTCCTTGGAACTTGCCCTAAACTTTGTCAGTGGGAGTCACTAATGGCTTCTTTTCTTTGTCTGTGCCTGCCGCCAGACCCTCTGATGAACACCCTCATGCACGACCCGGTCATCCTGCCCTCGGGCCACGTCATGGAGCGTAAGATCATTGAGCGTCACCTGCTCAACTCGCAGACGGACCCCTTCAATCGGCAGGAGCTGACCAGCGACATGCTGCAGCCAGGTGGGTTTGCAGAAAACCAGGTCCCGCTGTGGACTCTGTGCATGAACAGAAGAGGGCGCTCTTGTTTTACAGCACGTGGTTGAGCGCAGGGTATGCTGCAGCTCCAATCAGGCCGTGCATCCATTTTTGAATTTGGGAATTCTGGCTGATTGGAGAATGCGGAATTCAACCAAATAAAGTAAAGTGAGACCGGTTCCCCATCTTTCCATTATTGTCTGGACTTCGAAAGCAGGGGTTAGAAATCAGACCAAACCTGGGAGATGTTGCCTTAACCATTTGCCTCCAGGGTTTGCAGAACCGGGCACCTTGGGTTTGCATGCATATTCGGGGTGACGAAAATCGGACAAAAGAGCTGGGCCTTTTACGCAACATCGCACAATCTGGGCTCTCTTTACTAGGCAGCAGGCCTGGCTGAAATACTCGGGCATCAATGGAGGTTGCCTGTTAGATTAGAGTAGCAACCAGACGGTCATTCGTGTAGGTGTAAACGTCTAGTAAATGAAGTTGTGAATTTCTGAAGAATTTTGAAAACGGAAAATCTTGAAAATCCCACGGAAATTCATCCCGTACATACAAATTCCACCCGGCAAGAAGTGGTCAACCATGATTCAGCCTGTTCTCCAAGTTGCAAATGCCCAAAATGACTAGATTCAGAGAGAAATGGATTTCTCTTAAGACACAAACAAGAGAATTCTGTGGTTGTTGACCGTGGCACTAACTGACGAAAACGGATAGTGTTTACCTTCCCATTAAGTTGTTGATTTCCTCTTTTCTTTCACAGCAACTGACCTCAAGAAGAGAATCACAGAATGGATCCAATCCAAGAAGACAAAATTGTGACGAGGCTTACCTTTTGATAACTCCATCCCCGCAAACTCTCAACTCTCTGAGTCGTCATTCCCTTTTCGTTTTTCCTCAATGCTTCGGCTTTCAACGTGAAACTGCAAGGCAGAGCCTTGACACTTTCGTTTCTCCTGAAGTAGCTCCCGTCTGACACTTACAGTGCGCCGTTTTAAAAAGGCACGACAGGCAGGAGAACCGGTGAGGCTTGCCTGCCAAGACTGGAGACTCGCTTGATGGGGACCAGTCATGCTTTTGAGAAAAAGAAGACCGGGACCTGGCAAACTATTCCTGATCACGAGAAGGCCAGTGAAGAACTCGGAGCAGTGAACGTTCTCGACAGCACATTTCCTGAGCACAGTTGGAGGCCAGAAGCACTCATGCGAGGGGAATGCGTCGCAGTGGCATTTTGTCTGCGTGGAATGTCCCAGTCAACTTCTCCCTTTTAAATACCCGACTCTTAACAATCCTTTATGATGGCGAGCGGGTGGCTTCATTTTGCAGAAACTGAAGGCCAGTCTTATCTTTTTGAGTTATTTATGACTTAAGTCACAGTTAAAAAACTAGTTTGAAAGGCTATGACTGAGAATTGAAAGTATGATGTTTCTTTGAAAATTTGACCATTCGGGGGCTTAAAGTCGAGGATGGGAAAAAGGAACAAGATAAATCCTACAACGGGGTCTTGCCAAGAATACTTGGCTGTTAATGGTGTGGAACAGGTGAACCCACAGAGGTCAGAGGTCAGCTTTTTATCTTGACCAGATCTGGATCAAGAGCGGTGTCAAAAGTGACAGTAACCCAGCAAAATACGATACATTGCACTTTTGCCATTACCGAAAGGTCATCCGGGAATTGTGGTATGGAAAAAGCTTTCTGCGAACGCCGAGCACAAATTCCTAGACGACAGGGTCCTTCGGCTAGTGTGTGCATCCAAAACTAGCAAACGTCATTAATAACCGTGACGCTTCCAGTACAATTCTGAAACATCACATCCACATTTTGCTCAATTGTCAAACTAAACTGTTCTGAATTTCTCCAACCCCTTTCTATTTTCCTCGACACCGCTGCCCCAGATTACTAAGATCGGTGACAAACACTGGTTTCATAATTCCAAACTATCTGAGTTTATTCACAAGCAAACCTTTCTTTTAAACACACTTATCCCTTCTGCCGTCGCCCTTACAAGTGACGCATTTGCATCACCCACTTGACCGCACCAGCACAGAACACCCCCGTTCAAGAGACCACTTCCCCCGTACATGTTTTACTTTGTCACGGGGGGCAGACACACAAGGATACTGGAAAATTTTCCCTGTCATTGGCTGGTGGGCCCTCTATTCAAAAGACCTTAGTTATGAGTCAGCCATATTGAATTTGAAAGCGAGGTTAAACTCTTCATTTTTGGCGCTTGATAGCATCGAACGCAAAACAGGTCCCCATTTACATGCATTCTTCAAACGGTCCGGCACATTTTATAGCCTAACATAAATGATCCTTGTATCTACGGTTATTCAACTCGTTGATCTATTTTCCATGACTTGTGTAATGCCTACGTCTTCGTATTCACAAATCTAAGCTGATGGGTAACGTTGGGCAAAAACCAATCGTCATTACTTTATTTAAATTATTGAATTCCAAAGATACTTGATAGAACGAAGGTATTGAGAAGTCTTTTTTGTACTCCAGTAGTGGTTAAAAGACGATGTGTCGCGTGCAAATTAATGTTGATATTAAAAAAAATGGTCAGTGAGAATGAAACTTGAACAGTTTGCGTCTGTCGTTGCAACAGCTCACAAAATTGACAGATTTCTACATTGATATTTTAGAAGTTATTTCCTCTCAAAGTCTGGCTTTTCTCATGCATTCAATTAATCATATCTGAATTCACCTGCTGGCCGTTGGAGCTTACCGCTTACACTGAGACTCATGCCTGATATCATTTGTGAAGTCAGGACACCAGCCCAGGCCTGTGAGTTACACAAAACAATAGACGAGTAACGTAATAATGTCATGCTTTTTCCTCGGGCAATCACAAGGTGGGAAACGACCTACTGAGTCCACTTACTCCAGGTCTTGAAAGTAGCCTGCAAAAGTTCAGGTAATCATTGAAACGATAGTCTGAAGGGTCAACCTGGCTTTGTTCTACAGGTTCGCCTCGGGAGAATAAAGCTTGTCGTGGGAAAAAACTTTCTAACATCTGAATAATAATACCGAGGAAAGGAGCAGCAGATCTCTCAGATGTGGTAATTGGTAGTGCACAAACGCACTATGGCATTATATGCACTCATAACCTCATCAGGGGTCACGCGAGACAGAAAGGTCCAACACAGCTGGTACTCGATGCCGTCTAGCCATGACCTCTGGCCTTCCACCTCAACTGTTTGACCTCTCGGCGACCTCTGACACAGCTGGCCGGCTGACAACCGCAGCAGCCAAGCGGCCAGGTGCTGCTGTGGTGAGGCGATGGCGGAAACCGGCGTGGATCCTTCCCACGATGCAAAGGTGAGAAGTGGCAGTTGCCATAGCAACATATGGAGCATGTTGGCCGCTACTGTAGCTGATGGCCGCTGTCAAGAAAACAGAATTTTGCATCGAACAGCATTTAGATACTTCATTAAATTATAAGAAAGCTTGAAACAACATGTAGCTTTGTTTCGGCTTTGCAACACCAGGCAAGTGGGCATTTTCTCTGCCTTTTCAAACTTCAAATCCATTACAATGACACCCTGAACTGTACAATCCTTGTGCTGGCCTTTCTTTCTTGAAACGTGACTATTTTAGAATTTGATATCACTTTAAGTTTGCTCAGTCATTTTGGGGGAAAACACAGGTCAGATGGAAATTTTGGAACAGGTGTCTCCAAGATCTACAAACAGGGCTGTCATCAAGTCCAAAATCAAGTCCTGTTTCAAGCCAAGTCTCACACTACCCAACTCGGCGGTGACAAAATAATTGCCTTGTCACTGTTGACACCCTCACTTGTGACTATGCTCGCAAATGGACTCGACCACAAATGGTTTCCAATGAGATTTGAATAGTGTCCTACCTCTGCAGGGTCTTTCCGCAGTAGGAGGCTGACGACTTTGGCCAGACCTGGATGGGTATCGTCTGGCAAGGCAGCCAGATCGGTGGCCTCATACTGAGCACTGTCCAACCCCGGATTCCCGTTGCGACAGTAGAACGGATTGGGCAGCCCGAGAATTTCGTAGCTCATGGGCCCTACCGCCCATGTGTCGGACTTGGTGTAGTCGATTTTAGCATCCCGTCCTGGTACCGCCAACTTGACCTGGAAATTTAATTGAAGTTTTTCGACCAACATGGCATGGAAATGGCACTTTGGTAATTAGGTATTTGTCCAACCATTACAGAAAACGGGCCAAATTTGATACCAACGCAGTTGAAATCAAAATGGGGATTTCCAATGTAAAGAAAAAAACAACAGTCCTTTTCAGGAATGCATTCACCCCTCACAAAACACACAAGGCAAAGCAGTTTTTTTTAAAAATCACACCCCAGGCATTTTTACATACATCAAGTCAGAACTTAACTCTGCAAACAAAGATGATAGATCTACTTTCCAAAATTCAATGAAAGGTTTGTATCAGGCTTTGTTAGAGGGAGGTTAGAATTTAGACAGTTATTTACAACATCTGCCATTGCTTTCTCTTGTATCTACAACCCAACTCAAAATACACCTGCTCCAAATGGCAATTTCCCAGGACACGTAAGTCTCCTTCCTCAACTTAGTTTTGCTTATTGTTCAGGGTCGTACACTGGAACTCCAGTGAGCTTTTGTGGTGGAAACGAGACGTTTGATCATATGTAATCAAATATGCAGTAGCCTTTTTTTGAGCAGTGAAAATTCGTTTATTTCCTCTCTTTGTGCAAAACAAATCAATGGTTCAATATCTCTTTAAAAAAACTTTTGCACTTAAGGCTTTATCATGTGTGTCATTAAATGTCCATTACAAATATACATGTGGGGTATTTCTCCAGGAAAACCCCTACAAGAAATACATTCAACGGTTAATGTACTCTATGTTGGCAACACGCGGTGTGGCATCTCCACGTGAGACTACGGCATGCACAAGAATTGAACACTGGCTACGGCTCTCCACCGCTGCCTCTTTTGATCATAATTCAAAGCCCTCTCGCAGGAGACAGAACTGGATTATGGCTACCCCTGTCATGCGCCGCCCCATACAATCCCGTGTATTAACTAAATTGATACAACGGCAGTGCTGGGTGAACATATGTGAGGACCTACCTCCGGGGCCATGAGGGCGCTGTTTCCGCCAATCTCAGTGTGTTTTGATGGGTATGGAAGCTGGAGACCTATGGTTTCGTCAGCCAGACAGCATCCAAAGTCCGCTATCACCACATGAGGGCTCCCTTCATCAAAAAAAAGGGTCAAGACAATTCAACTAAGCCAGTCAAGTTTAGGTTGAGATATGTCAAAATAGACGGACCTTTGTATAGTGACCCAGACAGGACATCACAGTCGTGAAAATTATCCACAACAGCCACCTCACAGACAATACCTTTGTCTCCATTGCTGGGCTCTAACGAGGCTCCATACTTGAAAAACTACAACTCAATATGGGTCAAAAATATGTACAGTGTCCTTCAGAGAACTTCGTTCACCTTGGCATTTCCACGGACTATGAAACAGCTCACGGCTTACCTGCTGTCAACTCGACCAGGACGTTATTACTTTTCAGGTCTCGGTGAGCTATCCCATGGTGCACCAGATGGGCCACACCCTCCAGGAGCTGAGCAATGATCACCATGGCAACATGCTCGGAGGGGCAGCCAATATTCTGGTTGTACTCAGCGAGCGTCATGTCGTACCTGAATTCAGAAATGACACTTGGCAATGATCACTTACAAGACAACCGATGTCCAATTTAGTTTTGACAAATAACTGAACCGTTGCCATGTTTTTCATCCCTCGATTTTGATCGCTAGCATTGAGTTTAACGTGAACATCACTTGTTGGCTAGCGACCGCTCCAACTCAGTGATAAGACTGGAACCATTGCTTGCACGGCAGAATCTCAAATTCTTGTGGAAAAAGGAATCCATTCACGAATCAGAGTTTTGGAAGTGCAGAAATGAATACTGCAAGAGATAAGAGCCTTGATGTAGAACAACGGTTGACGCTGAAGTTTGAAAAATGGCCCCACCCGACCCTACCTTTTCATCACCAGGTACATCGTCTGGTTCCGTCCCATCCCGTCAGTGTGCAGCCTCGCTGGCAGGGCCGCGGGGAAGAGGGTCCGTGCCTCGTCCAGGTCGTGGGCCACAGTGTGGGTGACGAAGGCGTGGTACATTTCCACAATGTTGGGATGGCGCGGCAAGAATCGCTGAGCTTTCATCTTGGCTCTGTGCCTGATGATGACAATTCCAAAGCCAGTTACGAGTCAATTTAGCTGAGCATTATTAAGCATAGAGCCCTTTTGGAGTTGCGTTCTTTTGTCATTGGTGAAAAGGGTCTATTACACAGAGTAAGGCATCCTAGCATACTTTTGAGATCTTACATGCCTGACACTCATGTGCACCTTGCACTATTAGAACTCTGATCCAAAATGTTCTCTTATACTGACAACCCTGTCAATACCCTTTCAGCATCGTTTTCCAACACTCTGAACAAACAAAAACATATTTATAGGAGGAAGGTCAAATCTCACCCATTCTCCCAGCGGAAGTCACCAAAGGAGCCCTTTGCGAGGCTCGACCACAGAGGAAGGCATTCCCTCTCAAAGGCCTGGGATATGGCGGTCGCATTGGAGGCAATGTCGTAGTTGAACATCATCTGGGAGAGAGGGAGCACGAAAGATGCGAGAGCACTCCTGAAATCCATCTGGAATCCTAACAAAGTCCATCTTGAATCCTAACTCGGCTCTCAATCGTTTAACCCTGAGGGGGTTGTCGGCAATATAAATGAGCTTGAGACTAACAACCCTTCACTGAACCATGCTATGTATCAATGACTGTTAAACTGCCTGTTTTAATCTTTCATGTACAATGTCACAAAGGAATCGAATAGTGGCTGAAAGACAAACCAAAGAAAGTTGGATGATTCAAGACTGTGCAGGTTGATTATGGATGCTGAATCTTACCTTGAGTGCCAAGTCATAACCATCTCCAGTATCTTCTTTCATGAGATGACCTCCTGAGGCATCATTGGTTTCCTTCTCTTGTGTCTCGCCATCACCATCCACATCATTGGCATCATCAAGACTCTCTACATCTGATATCTCCATCAGATCCACTGAGTTGGTCTCACCGGACACCATCTCCCAATCTGCTTCGTCGTCATCATCCACCTGGGAGATGATCGCATCATCTTCTCCGACGTGCTCGCCCTCTCTTGCTCCATCAGCGACGCTGCCCTCTGCTGAGGGAAGCGGTCTCTGCCGTGCAGCATAGATGATCGCGTTGGTGCCCTTCCCAAGGTGTCTATTGGAGATGATGTAGGATGCCGTATCCGATGGGAAGTCTGAATTGATTGGAAGCTGAGGGTCTCTGCAATATGGCGAATCGCTTTGGAAGACACCCTGAAATGAAATCAATGTTATCAAAACTTTTCTGACAATCGAAACGGGAAAACTGCAGTAAAGAGCACCGTTATGTCAGAAATGTGGGTTGACCAATCACGCACAATTTCATAATCATGTTATGCCCTCATGACAAGGTAGAGTAAATGTACACACACAAAAATTAACAGAAGCATTGAGCATGACACTGCGCAGAAAATAGAATGAAAACAGCCAGTCATCTGGTCATGCCAGTATGTTTCAAACATTTTCAATTTATATTTGAAGTGAAAAGACTTGAAGAAATGACATGGTTGCAAGAATTCTGAAGCTAAGATAGCATTGTTTTTCTTTGTTTTTGAAAGGCTTACCCTAACAATCTCGCAACATGTTTCCAGTGGCAACCATTGCATCTTTTCATTCTTTTTGGTGTCACTTTCCTCCAGCACGCCCCTCTCTCCTGCTGCCAACGTCAGCCCCAGGAAGGCATAAATGGGCAGGTGGGTTCCAGTGCCTCCACATCGCGAGCCACGCCCTGCCCCTCCCCTCCGGAAGTGGTACTGGATCAACCGCAGGGCGGCGTTCCGCCGGAGCTGGGCAGCCAAGGTGGAATCGTTGGCCCCCGCGCGACCAGCAAAGACTCGCTGCAGACGGTTGGAGGGGGTTTCCCCACCCACCCTCGGAACAGCGTGTCTTGCAAAGGCTTTGGCCTTTTGTGCCCCTTCCTGCGGGTGAGCTTTGCCGGGGATGAGAAGAACCCGACGTGGAAGCAAAAATCCGCCATGCCCGCTGAGGAGCTGCTTCACTCGAACGAAGGCAGAACGAAGCGACATGATGATGCAATTTCAAAACTTCGACTCTGTTGATGTTGGCTAAAAAGTTGACGGTGAATTTAACGTTGATAACCTTCTGAAAGCTATGCAAAATTGTCACAATTTAGAACCAGACCGTATACATTTGTTTGGGCCCCAATGGGCCCATAAAAGGGACAAATTAATGCTCTGACTAATGTCACATCAGCATCAATTCCAAGCCAACAAGCTTAAACTGAAAATTATGATACGCAGGGCTCTGCTATGTCATGTGTAATGGTTATTTTTAACGATGATGTCACTCAAGCCCGCCCTCTTGTGCTTTGGCTGCGCTGGCAATGGATGGCGTACTTGTACTCGCCAGTTAACTTATCCGCAAGTCTAACGTCGTCCATCCGGTCACGGGTTGGTTCGGGAAAAAGCGAAATTGACAAATATTGACATAACTAACTGAGCTTGTGCAAGACCGCCGTGGGGTTTCAACACAGATGTGGAAGGAGAGTGGCTAAGGAATTATTCATTCCTCCAATACGAAGTGCTTTTTTTTCAGAAGTGCCCTTTTTTGCAAGTGTTCTTTATACAGGATAGGGTCCTTTACCAACGTCGTGCAATGATCGTGTGCCTACATTCCCGCTCAAGTTCATGCACTGTATATCTTGGGGTGACTTGCCAAGTCGTATTTGCAGAGGTTTTTTTTTAATAAGATTTGTTTTCATCTGTTAAGTCAAAAGGGAAAAAGTTAATTTGAAACACCAAAAAGAACGAATGTGAAGGGACATCACTGAACATTCGGCATTTCAAATGCTGTGGAAGAGAGAGTTACAAGCTTCCACGAATACTTTTGGTTACACTCAGGTTGTTAGAAGTAAAGGAAAACTCACAAAAGTCAAAGAAATGCTCCGTGGAAACGGCCAGCTAAATATTGGATGGATTTAAGGTGGATAAATCTCATGTTGAATATGATTACATGACAATCCGAGTACATATGTGTACAGAACACAGCACCGGAACATACCGGTGAGCACTGTTTTTTCCCCTTATTTTTCCCTACATTACATTGTATGTACATATGAGTCATTTTTTTTTTAATTGAGTGACTCTAGGATCTGAAATACCGGACGTGAACGTCACTATATGCCCCCCGCCTCTCCTGGACAGTCGCTCAAGCTTTTGTTTTTTAACATTAGTCTGTTCCAGAAAATCGGCTCAGGAGTACCGTGAAATGAACGACTTGTTGCAAGGCTAGCCTTAAAACAACAAAAAATAACAACGTTGGAAGAAAAATACAAGCTGGGCTCTGGCTGTCCGACGCCTTACAAGCGCAACCCATTCCACTTTCACAGCGCACACCTTTTGTTCTTTGTGCGACAGTACGTCCTTTTGTGATCACGTGGGGACGAGTTCGCCCAGCCAGGTGCGTTGCTATAGCTACAAAGTGTGACGTCAGGTCCAGCGCTCAAAGAAATCCTTAATGTAAATATCCACACTGCTAGAACGCTATTATTAGGTGAAAGACCTTGCTGTTGCGCTGTTCAATAAACGTATAGCTTCGTGTGTTGGCGGGGATGCTCATAAGTACCGATTTTGTAACAGTATCAAGTTCTGTACTTAGCCTGTGGACATAAACGACATAACCTAAGTTTTGGAAATCATCTCGTTACTGTTTGGGCTCAGGTAAGTCTCCCCTTTTATTTTGTCAAACTGTGGAGATATTGGTCAGACACGTACACATGTACATCTGTCGGAATTCGTAATAGAGAGATGTATGGTTTGAATGGGGTTGTAACTTGGAGTGGGCCGGCGCTAGGATGGGCGAGGCACTGATACCACGATGATACGAAGCTGAAGTTCGACAGCCTGAGCATCGAGCTACCTGAACAAGAAGCAGCAGTAAGCACCCGTCTGTCGTGAGTTTAGAATGCGCTGTTAAGGTCAGTCTTGTGACCTTGCGCAAAACTCCATCCCGAGTTGATTTGCCTTTAGATAACACCCATTCATGGAATAATCAACCATAACTTAAGGAGGGATCGAGTACAATGAATTTGTGCAAGGTTCGACTCGGAGATTGCGCTTAACACTGGCACCCCCATGCATGCATTCATGACAGTCACGGCAGGCTTGTGAGTGCTTGTCAGTCTCCATACGCCGCGCTTACGAGGAGTATTAAGTTAGGAAGTTATAATAGCTCTGTGTGGAACGTGACCGACATAATTATATGTAACTCGTACATGTACAATGTAGTTTACCATCCAAGCGATGATGAAATGTCCTGGGAGAGATCATGGAGAGACATACATCATACGGGGAAAGATTTCTTTTCACGAACATAGCTAGTTTTTTTCATGTAGTGATACATCAGGCTATCAGAAAGCCATAACTTGTCCCGAAAATCATATCAGAAGATTGAAGAGTTGGCTAAGAAAAGACCAAGAATTATTCAGACAAGTCTCAGAAGGTTTGTGGCACACGCGGTGTCAAGTAACATGACCTGTGCTCTTGCCTACATGGAACGTGGAAATTCTTTTCCCTTCGGGGAAACCAAACCATGCCTCTGCATAACAGTGAAACCATGTTGAGGCATTCTGGGCATGGGCCGTGTCAGCATGCTGAAGACTTGCCCCCAGCTCGGGGCATGAGGAGTGCCTCTGAATTCACAACGTCTTTAATAATCAAGAGGAATCCACAGCATGCAGACAATGCATTCTGTGGGTTCATGTTGCGCATGACTTACTACATGATTGTAGGAGGCTTCGACTTGAATGGAGACTCGTCATTCGCTGCCATTTTTGTTAATCTGTTGGTCCATATTTTATGACAGTAATAAAAAGGGTATGTGTGCATGCATAATAGTCGAAATCAAGCGATAAAAATTTTGAGATTTGAAATGAAAGTTTTCATTTGAAGAATAAGTCATTTTGAAACTAGGCTTTTAAAAGTAGTTTCTGGGGCATAGTGTGTATGGATCACATACGCGAAATTAAGACGTTTGTTTGAGCGGTTAGTTTTGTTTGGATGTTAATTATGCACATCAAAACGGATTTCCTGAACAAACGGAAATGCCGACTATGACCAAATCTCCTTGTTGTCTCCTGTTGTTACCTTGCCGACATTCTAGGCACTACCATCGTTTAATGCCACCATATCATTAACATGGCTGCCTGCAAACAAGGTTGTTGTTGAGAGATCGCCGTCGTGCACGGAAATGGTTTTTGTTTTTTTCTGACGATGACATGATCACCATAGAGGAAGTTTACTGGCGCGTAAAATTCTTGTCCATAGCACTGTAATACATTTTAAGCACGACACCATCTTGGCTCGAAGCATAGCCGTTTTGTTCACAATTTCAGGGTCTTGCCGACCGAGAACAATTTGGAAACTTAGTGAGAATAATCCTTCAGAGAAGGAAATACAGAGTACGAGATGGTTTCATCATTCGTAATCCTAACCCCCTATGGGGTATGTAAAATCATCTTGAAATCGGAGGATTTGGGACTGTTAGGGTTAATCATCATAAACTCCGTTTACTATTTTGCGTGAGATAAGGCTGATTTCTTTCAGATGTTAAGTTCCCAGATAATAACTGAGAGCCAGTTTCAACTGAAAAAAGTTCGCAACATTTTGTTGCGTGTACAACGAAAAATTGCCCCGTTTAAATTTTAACCCAAGGGAGGGTGGAATTTGAAACTGCAACTACCCAATAGTTTAGGTTGTTTCAACCCAATTTGGGTGATTGAAATTAATTTCTGGTTTGTTTTAACCAAACAATGGTTAACATCCACTCATTTTGTGGGTGAAAAATGAAACAGAAATTAATTCTCATCCCAAAATTGGGTTAACACAGCCCATATTTGGGTAATTGCAGTTTTCACCCTTTCTTGGGCTAAATTTAACCCAGGCAATCTTTCAGTGTATAATCAAAATGTGTTTTGTTTTTACTGTTCAGTTTAATTAGGAGAAAACTTCACACCCTTTCGTGCAGATTTTGTATATCATCTCCAACAAGTTTTAGTCTGTCCTTTTTGTCAATTTCCTCACTTAATGTAATCACCCTTTGCTCCATATTGGCACCCCAGTATCGTGGGTTTCCATGTATTGCACGCCCTCATATAGGTTCGACATTTGATGTATACAAAATTGATTTTACGCAACTGCTTGTTTCACAGGTGCTAAATTGTGTATAGTTTGTTAATTTTGGCCTTTCATTTCTGTGCTAACCTTTGTGTGCGCCATTATTGCATTGACTTTGATCTAGGGAATTCTTTTTTTATTGTGGAGATAGACACTAACGAATGGGCATAGCCAAGCAGACGTTTCTCCTCGTTGTTCCCTTTTTTTGTTTCGTCGCATGACGCACTCTGCATGCGGGGACAAAAAACCAGTATTTTCCAAAACTGTGGAATTTTCCATTCTGCACATGATTCATTGTTCCGTCTGCTGACGCGGCAACACGTACGGCACATGCAAGACTTCATTCGAGTCGCCTGTTTGACAGTGGCTCACGTCCCCCTCCATGTTTATCCTGTTGCATGGCAAGAATTTGTGCTCTTTCAGTTTTGTTGGTGATCACATGACAAACTTTGATTGGACTGTCTCGTTAGTCTTTAAGTCTTTTGTCGTTAGACTTGTGTGGTGTTTAATTTTACTTCGATGCGGAACATGACCTTGATTCAGTTTTTTTCGGGGTGTCGATGGAGGACGACGCAACGCAGACTTCCGAACTCCTTGCCTTATTGAGCCGGGTTCCGTGAAAACATCATATTACACTCCATTTCAGGAAAGACACAGCCAAACGAACGCGAACATGATTCGATGTCATCGCGAGGAATGGATTGTGGCTGTGGTTTGTTTGTGATTGGTGGATTTCGTTTTGCCCCAGGGGCCATGTACAGGCGAGAGATTTTTTTTTAATTGAATGGGACCTCCATTTTGATTTGAACGTTATATTAAAGGAAAGCACATGCCCTGGTTTTGAAAAGGCTAGCGTTTTGTGACATCGCAGATATTGACCTAACAGGATTGTTGACGAAGCTGACTTTGCATAAGTTGTTTCTGTCGTCGAAGAAGTGTTACGTAACGAAGATTTGCATGATTGATTCTCGGCTAGATCGATACACTTAAATCAGGGAACAGACAATAGGCGTACAGTAGCCTACATGTCAGCCAGAATTGATTTGGGTTGTCCTAAATCCGAGTGACAGACTTTCTTCTTGCAAAATTCCACATATCACCGAAATAAGCGTCCCCTAAAGCTTCACACCAAGTAGCACCACAGAGGGTTTGTAGCTCTATGGTAGCACTATGCCAAAGTTTTGGGGGAAACAACATGGACGCAATGCATGCTGGATAAGCCTCATGCAAGCAGGAGAGTAAGTCATATAAAACATTGTAAAAAAAACCGACCCACAGCCTTAACATGGAACGGTCAAATAAAGTGGGCTTTTATCTCTTCACTGTTTAAATAGGAACAATTTTTTCTATTTGAGTCCGAAATCTATTATCCACGCACCATCTCACTCAAACTGGGGTGAACATTGAACTTAATTTGAGCGGTAGTCTGCCATTAAAATTAGAGCTGCAATTGCAAACAGAATGAAGGAAAGATAGTAAAAACACGAACGTGTATTTAATGTAATGTCTTGTCCTTAAAAAAACTTAAGAAATCGGAAATGTTATTGCAAACTTTAGTCCGGAAATGCGCCATTTTCTGGTAAGATTAATAATCTCTATACTCTCTCTCTTTTGCATCTCCTGAAAATTGGAGACGGGGACGCTAGTCGTGTAGGTGTAATATTTATCAGAACGACTAGATCGGAGACTCATGCAGAAAATCACACAATTATGCACGACAGCCATCATCCCGGTCAGTGGGGCATATGCACAAAAGGTCCACTCGTGTGTATTCCTATGGAACAAAAACACTGACCGGGACTGTACTTTTCGACGGATTTCAAGTGGTGGCAGTTTGATGTAGTTTTTGCACCTGCTGTGTATGTACGGAAAGCTCATGTCTGAACGAATTAAGGGGTGCTGTCCTTCACGCACCCCGCATGAGTATTCCAACCCTCTTGAAAGGAGGTTTACAGAATTAATTAACTTCCAACTGGTGATTAATAAGCCGTGCTATTATAGTAGGCTACCCGTTCCCCAGGGAATTCACTAGACCAAATAACGAAGGGGCCGGAGGGGGCATCGCGAATCTTAGTCGGACAGTCAGCAAACGTCCTGAGTGTAATGGTAGTCTTATTTTTTGCCGACAAAACCATGTGTTTTCCTGCAAAGTGGCACCGCTAGCCGCCCCGCCCCCCAACAGAAACGTCAGTGCTACTGCCATTTTCTATGCAATGCCTGGTGCGAGATTAATTATGTTTATCATCAAAACTATGGAGGTCGACGACCAGGAATTGGAAACATCATTCTTGACGGTCTGTGCTGTAAACTACACTTTCAGCCCTGCCGGTATTCACTTTGTAAGCCGGTTTACTGTACTGATCCATGTTTCGGTTGGGCGTTGCCCGATCAGAGTCCCGTCCACAAAAACCGAACAAAACAACGGGATGACGTACACGAGCGAAAAAAAAAGAACTCGGCGATTGCTGGTATGAATATCCACCTGTCCGGGAAGTTGCCCAAAGTTGTAAAGGGTACGCGACAATTAGCTATCGGGAATGTGGGAAGGCTTTTGGAACATTCTGTTTGGGTCATACTATCAGAGCCGTGTACATGCACATGACGTATCGAGAGAAATATTACAGTGTCACCATTGTTGGGAAAAAACTGGCAAGTGCATTATGCGTAAAATTGCACACAGACGGCTTTTATACGATACCCGAACACTCGACTGTAAACACAATAAAAGGCCATTTTGTTACCAACATTTGAAGCATGTAGTTACTCTTCAATGACTGCTCCGGGTCTCATCGGAAACTCATTGCCCGATGTTAAACATTTGGAACTTTTCCTTGCTTTTTTTCGTCATCTTAGTCACTCAAAATCCTACATGTGGAGGGATTTTGAAGTGTGGATTTTTTTAAAGACAATTATAGATTCTTGCTCTGTTTGATAACCTCGGCCAAAGAAGATTTATTTTTCTGAAAACATAACCACTTGGAAATTCGCTTTAATTGTTGCTTACATAATAAACCTTATTACCATGGTTTCTGTGATTTATTAGATCCATGCACTGATGTCAAGCTTTGTTTGAAGTCTAAAGCACAGTCAGTGTCTCGTTGTAGTAATGTTGGCACTCTAATTTGGGAAGCAGTGTCCCATCGCTCATTATACGATATTTTGTTAGGCCTGTCTCCAAGTGGTCACTATTGACATAATGGATTGAGGTGTAGCTGGGCCAACGATATGCAATATGAGGTTACGCAACTGTACGCATCAAAATCAAATTTGAAGATAAAAAGCATTTTGTGTCCGTTTGGAGGCTATCACTATGAACATATAGCAAGGGAAGAGCTAGCCGTGCACTAACAATGGACGTCCATTGTTGGTGCACTGTGCTTCTTTTGTTAGATGTTTGGGGGTTTGCACTTGTGTATTATGTACACACGTTTATTTGACATGCTGCGGGTCGTGATCATGCCATATTTTGCCAACTGCCGCGGTATATTTTGCTTGAACTGTTCATGGAATATTACCCTACTTTGCTTTTGTGATACCTTATGGGACTAATGTTCAAAATACCCCACAGAGGGCCTCAATTTGCAATGGGGAATACCCACAATCCTGGAATTAATAGAAGTCATCACACAATCGAGCAAAAATGATTGACGAAATTTAACCTCATTAAAATGACAAGAATCACGCACGTAGGCCTATATTATTGATTTCAGTTATAGCATGACCTCGACAAAAGTCTCCATTCAATTCACTGACCTTTGATCAACAAAGTTCATGGCCTCGACAAGAGCCTCCATTCAAGTCGCTGAGCTGTGATCGAGGAATTTTGCCAAACTAACCAACATTTTCAAGTCTTTGTGAAATAAACTGCATGCACATATACCAGACATTATGTTCCATTTTTATTGGTTGAATCTTCTGAGTTTTAGCATATTTTTTTAAAAAGTCAAAATGGCATATTCATGCATCAGTGCTCAAATCCTTCAGCACAAACGACGTTGACGATACTCCATAAAGCACCATTTTACCAGCAATTTCGAGTTAATAATTATGTAGAGGCCCCATACCAGTAATGGGCGTTAATTGATCCAGCAGCTATACGGGGCCTTAATGGACTGCCTTAAACCTTGGCTATTTGCGGAGGCTTTCTTCTTTATCTCGTCTTTTTTTCGCTGATTACAAGGGACAAAATCTACATCACTGATTTGGGGAAAGAGAGATAACTGTTATTGTACCGCGACTAAAATGTATGCTTAGTCTACCGAGTGGGCGAGGTGACATCCGGTGGAATGTCTTTAACCTTTGACACAATCTGAAACAAACTGAACCAAATAATAGGTCGTCAGTGCTGGCAACGTGTAGTTTTATGTGATAATTCCAAATCGGGTATAACATGAGGAGTGATCGCACGGAGGTAACACGTTGACATTAATTCACTCTGGAACTGGATATGGTTTTTTTTTCGTTTTAAATGTGTCGTTTTAGATGAAATTTTACCACTAAGGACCTACTTGCTTTTAATGATTATCGTCGACTTCTTGGACTTCTGTGTTTCAGAGAATCCTGCGGGTTTTTATGGATCTGTGGCGGACCTTTTTAATGTGACGCAGTGGGTTTTTTTACACACAGAGTGACTGTGAAGTGTCATGGCGGCGTGTATTTATTGCACCCGGCAAAGGCTGAACGTCGATGGTACCATTTTACTGTTTATGTTGCTCCAGATTATTTTTAATTCCTTTCACCGAATTACCAGCGAAAAAACCAATCACAGAGACACTGTAAGTACACCCACTAGATTCTTGTCATTCCAGTGGATCTCCAGCAACCATGGCAACCGTTCATGTAGGCCTACTTTACATCTTAATGCTTTCGTGTATACATTTATGATCCCAGCTGGGAACTCATCGGAAGGGTGAGAGGTATGAGACATGCATATTCATCAGGATCATTAATATCAAAATCGTTGAGGCATTATAAACCACCTTCTGTACTTTGTTTGAGCCTTGCTTTATCTTGAGATGTGGAAATGAACCCAGGATCCAAGATCATGACAAAACCCAATATGAAGTTGTGGAGAAGGTTTCAAGACAAATCAAACGGACTAAAACTTCCATGTGAGGAATGCAACTCATTCGCACACATCAAGTGTGCAGGAACACCAAACCCTCTTCACCACGCTCGTGGCTTTGTCGTAAACGCTGTTCGCCTAGTGGAATCTGCCACGGCAGTGTTTTGAAGGACCATAAATCTGTGCAGTGTGATTGCTATGACCTTTGGATACATACCAACTGATGCGACATTGATGATCTTAGTTATGATTTATTGATAAACTCGTCATGTTTGTGCATGGGCTTGTCCTGAGTGTGATTATTTCAACTTCTCGGACTCATTCTTCAACAACTCAGGCCTTCCAACATCAAATTCATTTCATCCGTGTGATGCACGCTCAAAGGGAACTTTTCCAAATGGTATATTATACTGAAACTCGCCAGAATATAAAGAAAAAACCCATGTCAATTACTTCGCGAGCAAAGAAAAGAGAGAATTTCAAATGCGTCCTCATCGATTGCCAAAGATTTAAGGAAAGGCAGCAGATGTCCAAGTTCTGGATGAAATTCACAAGCCAAATGTAATTTGATCCATCAGTGGCAACGAGATCTTCCCTCCACGTTTTAGTGCGAAAAGATCGTGTGAGACTCACTACTGGGGGAGGGGTTCTCCAAACTACCAACGGTAATCTTATAACAACGCAAAATGACAAATCCTGAAACCGACTGCGAATGCATCTGGACTGAAACTCAGATCAAAGGGAGAAAACCTGTAATTATGGGAAAATTTTTTACCGAGTTTGCGATGATCAGCAGGGAGAAAAGATTGATGAATTAAACATGGCATTATCAAAGCTTGACGACAAAATCAACACGCATGATGTTATCGTTGCTTGCGATTTTAATCTTCCCATAATAAACTGAGACATTCATCATCATGGGGCAAAAAGTGGATTTAGTTCAATCGCAGCTGGTAAATTAGTATCCCATGTTGAAGAACATCGACTGTTCCAGCACGTGAAGCAATCCACCAGAATCCAAGGCAACTCAAGTAATATTCTAGATCTTGATTTTACCAACAATTCTGACTTGATAAAAAAAACTTATCAGTCGTCGATGGCATTGCACGTCATAGTACAGTTGTAAATGTGAACATCTCACCCAGACTAAAACATCGCCATAAAACGGAAAGTTCGTAATCGCAATAGGCCAACAAGACGGGGATTCAAGTATCGCTTCAGGATTTCAGAGAGGAGTATATAAATGCAACCAATGGTCAGTCAGTCGATAAAAAATGGAACTTGACCAGTACCGAGATTACTGGCATTATGAACAAATTCATTCTTACTCGTCAAACTTCGTTCAGAAGCTTACCTTGGTTTACACAAGAGCTGGAAAAACTCTGCGAAGGGAAAAAACGGCAATACACAAAAAGCAAAACAAATCCAGATTACACTTAGACTGGCTGCAATTTCGTGATACCCGGAAGTAAGTTCACAAGTGTTTAAAATCAGCACGCCTAGGTGACATCGGAGAATTCTTGAATCCAGCAATTACCGACAAACTTAAAGCTTTCTGGAATTTCACTTCAAGACTGCTTCAGGACAACCAAGGGATTGGCGATATCAACGGGAATGTCATCAGTGATGCAAAAAGCCGAGATTCTGAATGATCAGCTCGAAATTGTGTTTACTCAGGAAACAAATGAGTCGCGGACCAACTTTTGAAAATCAACCCATCAAAGTCTCAAGGCTCAGATGGGATACGCCCCTGATTTTTGAAGACTTTATAGCCCCCAAATGCGTCCAACAATGGTTGAAGTACATCTTAGGTTTGTGGACACGCTAAGACAAAGAATCAAGAATGACGACGCACGGAATGCGCAGGCTGGTGTGATGTGTCCTGACGGACATTTTCTTTGCTCGCTCAACTATACAGATAAAGCCTTGGCCTTGGGCCTGTTTGTTTCACTCGGATAAGTGGATTTCGATCTGCAGTGGTCCCAAAGCTGGTTCGCTCCATCTTTTAGGCTGGTTCTGGTGTCAATGAACCAACGGCGGATCACTGATCGCAATCCGGATTAGCACGAAACAAACACTCCTTTAGTGTCGAGTGTTCCCTGTACCTTTTAGTATTGGTTTCATTACAAAGATGTTTCTTAAACGACTCCTCTTCCGCAGATTGAAGACGACTTCCTAAGCTCCAACGATGGATGGCTCGACGGGAGTACCAATGCAGGGTCAACCGAGCTACGGCCAGCCTCAACCAGGGTACGGCCAGCCTCAACCAGGGTACGGCCAGCCTCAACCTGGGTACGGTCAACCGCAGGCAGGATACGCTGGCCAACCACCTCAGGCCTACGGGCAACCCCAGCCGGGCTACGGTCAACCGCCTCCACCGGCAGGCTATCCTGGCGGTCAGCCAGTGAGTACAAGGGCAATGTAATGTCACGGGCACATGGAACAATTTTAAATGAGCAATTGACAACCAATTTTGCTTGTACTACATTTCCAGTCAGAAATATTTCGTTGTTTCCGAAGTTGACAATGACCGGTATAAAAACACTTTCCGAAATGCCTTTGAAGTTCCAAATGGTTGATTTTTTTCTCGAGAGGTAACCATAATCATTCGTCTAATTTGCCACGTTCGTTTTTTTCTTCACCACCACAGGTCATGGCCCAGCCGGGCGTTCCTGGCGCGTTGCCAGGGCAACCAGCGCCGACGCAGTGGATGCCCGCACCAGAGAGGATCCCCGGATGTCCGCCCGGCCTTGAGTACCTGACACAGATTGACCAGCTCCTAGTTCACCAGCAGGTCGAGCTGTTTGAAGGTTCGCTCTACCATCTTGCATGGCCTGTTTTGTATTGAATGTCGTAATCATTTAAATTTAGGTCTTCCCGGCCATGCGCTCTCGGTTCGGGGTTTCGAACGTTTTCAGTCACGGTGCTAGAATCTTGTGGATTTTGACACGGAAAATTGAACCCGCACCGAAACCGAAAATTGCCTATTCACCGTTAGACACTCGTCGATGTGGACTTCAATCTAAAAAGCCTTCCTGTTGTGGCCAACGAAACTCGGAAGTACATGTATTTTGAAACTTGAACAGTTTGGTAAAGTTTTTTTCTTCACCATTGCGTATGTGTGGTTGTATTTTCAGTTTTCACCAACTGGGAAACATCTAACCGATATCAGGTCAAGAACAGTGTGGGTCAGCAGATCTACTTCGCTCATGAAGGTAAAATTTGCATACACAAATATAGTTTATCATAGTTACAGCATTCTTCTTTTTGTGTGTGGGGGTAGGCGTCTGTGGACTTTTATCTCTTAGAAGTCATATTTCATAAGCAAAATTTATTGCAAATGCATGAGCAAGGTCTTATTTTGGAACGGCTTTCAAACTTTTCTACCTTTCAATATTGGTTCAAATCTTGGTTGTCAAGAGGAACCGGATTTGACCCTAGTAACCTAGAATGGTATGAATGTATATTTCACATGCAGGCTTAGTTGAAACATGCTGGTTTGTTTGGTTTTTTTTTCTCGCGCTCAGAGTCGGATGTTTGCCAGAGACAGTGCTGTGGGCCACAGCGTGGCTTCACAATGCATATCACGGACAACATGCAGCAGGTAATTAGGTCCATGATGAGGCATGCTTTGCACTGCGCCCTCACGGGAAAGAAGTGCGTAACGGTTAAGCCTCTTGGATGGCAGATGGCATTGGTTATGTACCGGTTGACACATTAAAGTGCAAGTGATGACGTAGCGGCTGCGGCTACGGCTTCATTGTTTTGGTAGTTTATAGGTCATAGAAAGTGCTTAAATGGTGGACAAAATTACCATTTCGGATTGTTCGATCCGGAACGTCCTTATACGCTGGCACCGGATTAGCCAGGAGTCTCTATTTCAGATAGAATTGGTTGTGTCATTTTGATTGACCCTAAGGCATGCCTGCACACTTTTATTCCCTCACTCTTCAAAAAGTAATAGGTGGCGTCGTAAAAAATCCGCCTGTTAGGGCGGCAAATAGGCCCACATGAATAATTTTGAGCCGATCACGTGTCATCAACTCACGAAGGTACTTACAGACAATTGTTTCGGGTGTCATCTTCAGGAAGTCATCCGGGTCACCCGTGAGTTCAAATGCTGTGCCGGCTGCTGCTGGTGTGCCAACGTGGATTGCTGTGGTTACGAGGTTGCTGTGGAGGCGCCCGTGGGACAGGTCGTGGGATACGTAAGACAGGCGTAAGTCTTGACCCTGTATCCAAAGTCATATGAACGTGTTGTAAGCCTACCTTTTAGGGAGTTTCATGCAGACGTGATGAATACGGATACAGACTAAGATTCAAGGACGGTGAATAGCAGGGCTGGATAATTGCACCGTGAGGTAAAGAACACGTGTTGTCTGTGTGGAACTGCTTTTACGTTGTAGCTGGATGCAGACACACCGTGAAGTAGGTGCATAATCGCAAGTCCATCCGTTAGCAACATATAGCAAGTCAACAGGATAAATCGACAGTGCTGGAAGACACGAACAGTTGTCTTTATTCACAGTCAACATGCTTCCGACTTGACTTGAGACTAGACGATTTTGCATTTTGACCAATGATTGATTTATACGAAGACTTGTGAAAACTGTCACCATTTCACTTTACTATTTAAGTGGGCTCACGAAGATCATACCCTCACCAATTAAAGTGGCATAATTATTTTGTCTTAAAGTCAGAGTGGTTGGTCACCCCATTACGACATCCTCAACGCTAGCCGGGAGCCCGTCTTGAAGATCCGCGGCCCCTGCTGCATCTGCCAAGGCGCCTGCTGCACGTGGGACCAAAACTTCAATGTAAGAGCTTTCCTCTGAGAACTATTTAGTGGATTCCTGCTGATACCCTGCGCTCATCGGATACGTGTAATTTGGAGAGCACCCGATGCTTATGTCCCTGGATGATGCTTTTCATTGGTTCAATTTCAAAAATACGATGTAACAAAAGATTCGATTGGTCAATAAGGCTAGGTATTTCTGGACTTTACATGCTGAACCGTGAAGGCGCTATTTCAGCTTCCTTTGAAATTGAGTGAACATACTCATCTTGACCGTCGTGATTTCTTTTTTTTTTTGGAAAACTTACTCAGGTCATGAGTCTTGATTTGGCCAACGAAGTTGGTAAAGTCAGCAAGCAATGGAGCGGATTCGTCAAGGAAATCTACACCAACGCGGACAACTTTGGCGTGTCCTGTAAGTTCACAAGCTGTTGTCATTCAAACAGACGGCACCCGTTTTGTGACTTGATGCGCTCTCCTCTATTTTCAAGACTGAAAAGTACAACAGATTGGGCCTCCAATTTGTTGTACGCCCGAGAAGAATGAGATTGAAAATTTAAAAAAGATAACTGTGAAATCAGTGTAAGTTGTCTGTAACACAGTGTAAGTTGTCTGTAACACAGTGTAAGTTGTCTATAACAAAGTGTAAGTTGTCTGTAACACTGTGTAAGTTGTCTATAACAAAGTGTAAGTTGTCTGTAACACAGTGTAAGTTGTCTAT